TTTTATTATTTTTTAGTTTGTTTATTTTGAGAGAGAGAGAGAGAGAGAGAGAAGAGAGGGAGAGAGAGAATCCCAAGCAGGCTCTGCACTGTGGGTGTGGAGTTTGATGTGGGGTTCAAACTCACAAACCAAACTCACAAGCCAAAACCAAGAGTTGGATCCTTAACCGACTGAGCCACCCAGGAGCCCCTTAAAAACTTTTAAATTGAAGTGTAACTTACAGTGAAACATACAAGTCTTCAGTATACATCTAGACAGAATTATATATGTATATATATATGTTATATATATACCCGTGTTAATTATGTATATATGTATGTATACATATATATACATACATACATATACCCATGTTAACTACCACCCAGATAGAGACCAGTGCTATTGAGCTCTTAAAAGTGGGTTGACTGAATTGAGACCTGCTAGGAGTATCAAACACACACAGGAGCTGAAGTCTTGATATGAAAAAAAAAAAAAAAAAAAAAAAAAAAAAAGACTGTAAAATTGCTCATTAATAATATTTTATGTTGACGACACGTTGAAATAATAGTTTGAGTGTATTTGGTTAAAGAAAACATTATTAAAATTAATTTCACCTGTTTCTTTCTACTTTTTTTAAAGTTTATTTATTTATTTTGGTGGGGGTGGAGGGGTGGAGACAGGGAGACAGAGAATTCCAAGCAGATTCCACACTGTCAGTGCACGGCCCGATGCGGGGCTCAAACCCATGAACCACAAGATCATGACCTGAGCCAAACTCGGATGCTTAACTGAGGTAAGCCACCCAGGCGTCCGTCCTTCTATTTTCTTAATGTGGCTATGAGAAAATTTAAAACTTCATTTGTGGCTTGCATTATAGTTCTATTGCTCTGATACAGACATTTCCAGAAGGCTCCCTTACATCCCTCCCAGTCAACACTCTCTGCTCCCCCAGGGTGAGGATGTGATAGGTCAGGGAGGGGGAAGGAGGCCTATCACAGGCCTAAGAAAGAGCAAAACCAAAGTAGAGGTCCAGTTTAAGAGACCTCAGACCCTCCCCCAAATGCTCACTCCACCAGAACCCCTGCACACACAGAGTTTTGATTCTGAGGAACTAAATCTCTCAGTGTATCTGCAGGGATGGGAACCCTTATTACCTAGGAAGCTGTGGCTGGTGCCCCCCTTTTGCCTGTGTCCCTGACTAGCGGGTGCTAGTAAGGAGACGCCCTGTGGAGGGACCAGGCCAGGATGAACCCTGTTACAGGCACAGAAAAGTGGAACCAGGTGGTGGGGGAGAGGGGGTCAGAGGGCAGCAAGACCCAAAAGTCCTGATGAGGGAACGGCATCTCCTAAAGGGAAGGGCAGGGTCCTGGCAGGTCTTAGGCTGGAGGGAGGCTGGGAAGTACTGGACCAAACAGGTCCGGCAGCGCTGTGTTGTTTAAGCAGCCGGGTTTTGCAGAGACCCGGCTAGGCGGGTGTGCGGTCAGCCAATGTGGGTGTGTGCTAAAATTCCCTCCTGACACCCCCCACTCCCAAATCCCTGGAGAAGCCCTCCGTCTCAGGGATGCTGGATGTGCAGGCATGGATACTTGTGGATTTCCCCTCCGGGTCCACGCAGAGAAGTGTGCCTGGTCACCAGGGCAACAGGAGTGGGCTGGGAGGGGCTGTAGGGCTGCCCTATGGATGTCCACAGGCCGTGGGGCTGGGGCCCAGTGGGCCTCATTTGGAGTTCAAGTCCAGGGAGGCCCAGCCGATACTGATGTAACCTCTTCCCAGGCCCTGAAGGATGAGGGTGGTCACAGCATCTCCTCTGGGACAGAAGTGAGAAGGGTGGAGGCCAGAATTACCCAGAAAAGGGCCTGTTCGTTTGCTCTAACCCCTCCCCCCACTTGGAAACACAAAACTATCTTCTGGAACCAAAAGTCTTCCTGATCATCTTTAAACCTCCTTACTTGGCCTGGGGCCTCCCCCAGGGGCAGGTTAGGGTTCTAATAGCAGCTGGGGGCGAGAGCTCCAACTTCCTCTCTGCCCCCAGCTAGGCTTAGGCCTTGAAACGTCCTTTCCCTCAGAGTCTGTTTTCTTATCTGTGCAATGGGCAGGGGGTGGCCCGGAATATTCCTCCACTTACTGGGTGGCCCGAGGCGGGGCCTGGGCTTTGGGGACAAAGGTCCTCATTTTGTCCTATGGAACCAAAGCCATGATCAAACAAACAAGCTCTGTGAGAAAGGAGGGGGTCTGTCTTGTATTCACTTGTACTGTGAACAGTCTCTGAGGGTCTGCAAGCTCCAGATGTTGTTCCAGGCACTGGGTTAGAGCAGAGAAAACAAAACCAAATGAAAACAACAAACCTCTTGTCTAGGAGAGGGGCCAGGTGACAGACAAGGTGAACGAGTGACCTAGAGTGCGTCAGGTCGTGCTGAGCTGTACGGAGGACGCAGATGTCTGGGGAAGGGCGAAGGCCTTTGAGCAATCTTACCCGGAAGCCTGGGGGCTGGCAGGTGCAGGGGTGGGGATGCGGGGGGAGGAGGAGGGGAGGTCGGAGGGGGCAGGGTGGGGGTCCCTGTAAGATTCTGGAGCCACTGGCAGAGGTGGCTCTAAATCCATATATATGAACACCTTCCCTGGGCTTCTGATTAGCAACTAGCCCACTACCACGCAAGCTTCCTCAGCAAGAAATGGGCCCTCTATGACCTCATGGGGCCCATGGGGCCTCATGGGGTGGCTTCTGGGCCCATGGAGAGTCTTCAAGGATCCACAGAGATGAAGCTGTTCCCTGCCCCCAGCTCCCTGGGAGTCCCACCTGCATCCCGAGGACAGGGTGACCAAGGAGAAACTGCCCAGCCTCCAATGTCATGGGCACTGTGCCACCCTTGTGATCACATCCCTTCCAGCTCTAAAACCTTCAATGGCTCCCACCGCCTGAAGGATCCAATCCAGTCCCCTAATATTGAAGGCATTCTCTTTCTGAGCCCTGCCCCCTGCAAACTCCCCTACAAAGGGCTGCCCTCCATCAGCTCAGCAGAACCCGAGCTTCCCCACCCTGCTCTGTCCACCTGCAATTCCTTCGGGTTCCCTGTTACTCCCTCCCAACATTTTCTCCAACGGGCAGCCAAAAGTTTAGTGGATTGGACCAGAAAGCAAGAATCACACGAGGAAAGATGGATAAATTACACATACCAAAATTTACACACGTGTCATCAAAACACCTCGTGAAGAAAACGAATACTCAAACCATAGGCTCAAAGAAGATATCCGCAAAGCATACACCTAACAGAGAACAACCAAGTCGATGTTAAAAACGGACACAAGATTTGAAAATACCTCAAAGAAGAAGGCATATGAATGGCTAGTAAGCAGGTGAAAGACTGCCCAACATCATTAGTCATTAGGGAAATGCAAATCAAAACCACAATGAGATGCCGCGACACAACCACCAGAATGGCTAAAATTAAAAAGACTGTCATCACAAATTGGTGAAGATGGGAGGTAATCAGAACTGTTGCATGTTATTGGAGGGAATGTGAGTTGGCACAACCACTTTGGAAAAAGGCCGGTTTTCTGTTTTTTTTAATTTTTCATTTTAAGAGAGCATGAGTGGGGGAGAAGAGCAGAGGGAGAGAAAGAGAGAATCTTAAGTAGGCTCCATGCCCAACACAGAGCTCGACAAAGGCTTGATCCCATGACCCCGGGATCATGACCTGAGCCTAAATCAAGAGTCGGATGCTCAACTGACTGAGTCACCCAGGTGCCCCGAAAAAGGCAGGTTTTTGTGTGTTTTTAATAAGTCTAAACAGACACCTACCATCTGGCCAGCCATCCCACCTAAGAGAAATAAAATATGTCCACACAAAGACCTGGACATGAATCTTCATGGCAGCTTTCCTCATAATAGCCTGACACTGGTCCAGGGGTCCATCAATGGTAGAATGAACGACAGACAGTGGTATCTCACTGTCTATCTCACAACAGACTAGGAAGTGCTGATCCACACAACCACGTGGATGAATCTCAAAAACATACGGAGTGAAAGAAACCAAATGCAGAAAAATATACATACTGTCTGAACCCATTTGTATGAAGTCCAAGTGGTATACTAAGATATGTGTATTTACGTTGCATCGTATGTAAATTTTACACCAAAACAATACAAAAGCACCACCAATGAATACTGAACTCGAGGTAATGATACGTATGCTAATATATCCAGGGGTGCCCGAAACTTTCTTTGAAATGGTTTAAAAAGTAAGGTGGATTCACAGGAGGATAGAGGGATAGATGGGGGTGTAATAAAGTAAATATACAAAAACATTAAGGGTATGTGGCGGGTATATGGGCGTTAACTGAAAAATTCTTTCAACTCTTCTGCAAGTTTAAAATCTTTTAGGGGCACCTGGGTGGCTCAGCCGGTAAGCGTCCGGCTCTCGGTTTTGGCTCAGGTCATGATCTCGTGGTTCTTGAGTTTGAGCCCTACATTGGGCTCTGCACTCACAGTGGGGAGCCTGCTTGGGATTCTCTCTCTCCCTCTGTCTGACCCTCCCTCACTTTATCTCTCTCTCTCTCTCTCAAAATAAATAAACTTAAAATAAAACAAAATATTTTACAGTAAACTACTGGGGATAAAGTTCTCCCCATCCCTTGAGACCCATTGAGAAGAAGCCTTTCTGTTATACTAGAAGCCCTGGGTTTGAATCCAGGCTGTGTGACCTCTGGCCAGTTACGTTACTTCTCCGGGCTTCAGTTTAAGCATCTATAAAAAGGTAGTAATAACCCTTACATAAAAGGGTTATTACGAAAACTCGGTGAGACAGAGGTCTGCCGGGTGCTTAGCACAACTCAGCAGATGTTAACTATTGTTTTTCTATCACTCCAACCCTCCAACTGGGTTCTTGTCACTACAATTCTTCCCCTTTGTAGTCTTGATTTTAGGATTTAGCACATTTGATTAGAGTGACTGGGGTAGACATCTGTGTGCTGCACTTGGCTTGTAACCCAGACAACACCTGGCCCCAGGGGTAACCCACAAGTTCCAGCACCTTGTGGCTCAGCGACGGCCCCTGGCAGTAGGAGCTGATGTGGCCAGGCTGCTCAATACCAGTCATCACAGCAGTGAAACCAAATCTGACACGGTCTCCGCTCTGGGTATTTCCACCTTCGCTCTTGTGCTTGAGCCCCACAGCCCAGCCCCAAGCTCCATCACTGGCGCTGGCATTCTGCGGTCGCAAGTGGGCGCTCAGAGCGCCCAAATGACCCCAAACCCAAAGTCAGCAGGGATTCGAGGACCAGAGGGTCTGGCCCCGCTGGCCTTCTTTGGCCTGGTCAGAGCAGACGCCCTTGTGAGCTCGTTCCTTTGGGGCTCTGGTGCTTTCGTGACTCGGAGCAAGGCCCAAAGCTCCCAGCCTTGGCTCGCTCCTTCTCTGCTGGCAGAGCAGTTGACCCCGACACCCACGTCCTCCCCCTCAGCGGCCAAACTCCAGCAGAAGGCCCTGCAAAGGCAGCCAGAGGAACCTTTGGGTAACGAGCGACACTGTTAGCGAAAAGTAAGGAGCCTCAGAAACTTTAATGTTTTAATTTATATTTGAAAAAGAGACAGAGCTTGAGCAGGGGAAGGGCAGAGAGAGAGAGGGAGACACAGAATCTGAGGCAGGCTCCAGGCCCCGAGCTGTCAGCACAGAGCCCGATGTGGGGCTCGAACCCATGAGCAGTGGGACATGACCTGAGCTGAAGTTAGACGCTTAACCGACTGAGTCACCCAGGCGCCCCGAGGCTCAGAAACTTGAGAGCAACTCCACCGGAATGAGCAATTGTTCACGACCTGTTTCCTTCGGCTCACTGGTGGGGGGCTCCAGTCAGGGCCTGCTGTCCAAGGACACCAGGCTGCCAGCCCAGAGGCAGTCTGGTCTGACACCCGAGGAGACCCTCACCCTGCACAGCATGGACACAGCAACCTGGTGTATTTGGGGGACTTTCTCACCAGCTTCCCTGACGGAGGGGTGAACTGGCATGTCCTCCTCTCCCTGGTCTGGTTTCTATGTCCCTGTCACGGGCCTATGAACCTGGCTTTGGAGAGCAAAGCTCTGCTCGGGGTGGACAGGCTGCCCCAGTGTGGGGTCAGGGCAGTGAGGGTGACGGCTTGGGGTGTGGGGCCTGGCTCGATGCTGCCGGTTCGGAAGGAAGAAATGGAAGGTGCCCAGCTCATGAGTGCCCCAGGCCCAGGGAGGCAGTTCAGAAAGTTCAGCGATGCCTCACTGTGCGGAGAACTGAGGCTCCCTTGTGCAGACTCAGCCAGCACTCAAGTGGAATGGGGGATCGAAGGAGAGGTTCCACCCACGATCCCAACCCCAAGAAGCTTCCAGATCAAGGGGGTCTATTGGGATGCAGACGCCTGGTCCCTGCCCTCACAGCTGCAAAGTTTTCAAAAGCTGCCACGGTCCTGGGAAATCAATACTCGACACCTAACAGTCCCAAGTCAAGATGAGGACGCTGAGGCACAGAGAGGTTAAATAGCTTACCCAAGGGCACACAGCCAATACGTGGCAGAGCTGGGATTCCAACCCAGGCAATGTGGCTCTAGAGTTTGTAGTTAAAAGCACTACACTATTCTAGCTCTGGAAGGAATTTAAAAAATTTCCCATGTATTTGCGTCTTTGTCATACACGGCAAAGGAGGTTAGATAATGTTGTTCTATCATCTGGCATGTATACAAACATACACAGAGACATGTAAAAATGTACACAGAAATAACTTCCAGAAGGCTACGTAAGACATCATTAAAGACCGTTATTTCTGAGAAGTGCAGGGGATTTGTTTCAATTTTTTATACTGATTAGCATTACTTACATGATTAAAACGTATCTTAATTAAATAAATGTGGGAAAATATACCTGTTTGTCACACAAACGAATGCAGGGTGGAGAGCTGTTGGCTTTGGGGTCTCCCGAGCCTGGCTCGTAACCCAGTTTTGCACAGACTCTGGTGGGGCTTGGATGCCTTATCCAACCCCTATGACCTCCAGTTTCCTCTTCTGCAAAGGGAGTAAGTACAACCAGCTGAGAGAATTTCTCTTGGGAGCAAAGGAGATGCGGCAGGCAGGCACGTGGCATGAAAAGGGCACTCCGTGTGTGACGATTATCATGGGGTCACTAAGAGCACGCCTCTAAAAGCCACAATTGAATTGCCAGATGGATGGCAGCAACCACCCTAAGCTTCAGAAGTCCAAAGTCCCCTCCTTTCCTTTTGAGGTAGCACCTGTTTCTCCAGCTGGGACAGGATTGTCTCGAGGTCCTGGAGGGGAGTGTCCCTGTCTGTGACTCTGGTGGCCGTGAGATGCAGCCATGCCTCAACACTCCCAGGGTGAGACAGGACAGTTGCCCAGGACAGTTCCTTGTCCTCCATGCCGACTGCTCCTCAATGAAATGACTCCTTCTGCACAGAGCGGGAGGGACCAGAAACACAAGGACCGGCGTGTGGGAGGTGTGAGACCTGGTAGGAAGGGACATCAACCTCTTAGCTGGTGCCATCTCTCTACAAACTCACCACTCGAGGGTTGGTGGACATTTCACACACTCTGCCCAGCACAAGGGCAAAGACCTGGGGCTCATTAGTCTCTGTCCCAGCCCCTGCCGCGCCCTGGCCAAGTGACAAGGGCAAGGTATTTAATGTCTACAGGGCTCAGTTTTCTCATCTGTACAATGGAGCTGGTAACACCTGCCACATGCAACGCACACCAAGCAGCACCTGGTACGTGATAACACTTCAAACAGGTCTTTATTCTGGCTGGGGCAGCCACATACACAGTCATGTTCTGTTTCTCCCAGGAACACCTGTTGCTACAGTGGCAACATACGAGATGGCCCAAGATAAGCACGAATCCACGGCTCGGCCCTCTAGGAGCCCCTGGGGCACCAAGAGGGTTAAGCACCACCGAGAATGAAGACAGGTGCACCTGTTCTGAAAATGATTGTCAAAATCTAAGAGAGACGGGATGGTGTGGCCCAAGCCCAGCGGCCCCTCCCAGGATGCACACGGGCACAAGGAGACGATGAGGATGGCTGGCGGCAGGGGCGTTTGCAGTGACCAGACAATGGGAACGACCAAAGTTCATCCCTAAGAGAATGGGTCCATAATTTGTGATTCTATCCACCCGGGACCATCACACAGCTGCTAAAAGGCAGGAACCAATGCAACACAGTTAAATCTCAAAATCCTGTTAATGTCCTGATTTTAGTCCTTGTGCTGAGGGTAGGTAAGAGAATGTCTTTCTGTTTGAGAAACACCCACTCAGATACATTGGGGTAAAGAGGCACCGTGTCTGCAACTTAGAACGAGCAGAGGTGACAAAATGTTCACTGGTGGGTCTGGGTGAAGAATGTACATACAGGAGTTCTCTGTACTATTCTCATAACTTCCCTGGGAGTCTGAAGTTACATTAAAAGAACAAATTTCAGGGGTGCCTGGGTGGCTCAGTCGGTTAAGCGTCCGACTTCAGCTCAGGTCATGATCTCACGGTCCGTGAGTTCGAGCCCCACGTCAGGCTCTGGGCTGATGTCTCAGAGCCTGGAGCCTGCTTCCGATTCTGTGTCTCCCTCTCTCTCTGCCCCTCCCCC